CATTTGCCATTGATTGAGTTTTTCAAGTGATTTTATTTAAGTAAACATAATTAATTTTTTATTCTTTGTCAGTTCTCCCTATCAAAAATACACCCACTTTCAATCTGTTTTATTTTTAGGTAACAAGAAAACTTACCCTTATTTTGGGAGAAATAGCTTGCTAAGAGATCAGAGGCAGACTTCACTACATTCTCACTTCTGTGTTCTTTTATGGAAAAATATCTTATCAATATTTCTCTGGATGTTCCTAGTAGAGAATTCAAAGGGGCACTGTCTGATCCCATATATGATCTCCAAATTGCATCAAAAAATTGATTTTCAACATTTCCAGATGGGAATAGGATTTGATTCTGAAGCCATTCAAAGAATTTTCTGTGGTGTTTCTTGTAAGTGTGAATTGGTATGTTGAAATGATTCAAAACTTTCTCATGTAATTCATATATCCATCCAATGAGAAGCTGATAATTTAAAATGATATGCCTCTTTTGCTGTGTAGTAAAGATATAATTACATACTACCAATGGGAGATCATTTTTTGAACTTGTATAGCTATAGTCATAGGTGGTTAAACCAATTTTAAGCTGGAAGTAAGAGAAGAACTCCTGAAGGAGTGGCTCTATGATCAGTCCTTTACGTTCAAGACAAGCTGGATGCTTAATCTTTCTCTGCACTTTGACATTTTCATGTTCAGTCATGATATTTGTTTTTGAAACCTGTTGTGCTATATTAGTTGCTCCAACTGACTCAGAGACCTCCTTAAAATGGCCTTTTCTACGTTTTAATGAGGGATACAAGTCTGATTCTTCACTACTCTGAAGCTGATTGTAAGCTTCATTGCATCGTCATAGATGATTAAGTAATCAAATCCACTAGAGTCAAAATTTTGCTTGGCAGATTTGAGAGCCAGTGATGCACACATACCAGGCTGAATCCTATCAGATGAAAAGATAAATTTGTTGTTGGATCTGGATGCCTCGGGGCTTGAAGTTGAACAAGCACCAGGCAGTCGCACATCATCGTACTTGTGTTTTTTGGATGCTTCTTGTGGCTCTGGGTCAGATGAACTATCTTGCAGTATGCCTGATTTTGGTTTCCAATCAAAGAAACAACCAGAATGTGGTTCTGTTTGATGCAGCGGTCTTACTTGGATATATTCACCTGTCTGGTCCAATTTGGGTGGAGTCAGCCCAGTGTGAAGTGGAGAAGTCAATCCCACTAATTTTTCAAGCAATGTGGATGAGGTTTCTAGTTCATCCAGGGGAAGTTCTCCCCATTTAAGATCCAGGTTCATTGGAAAAGTGGAAGGAATTGTTGTCAGGTACCACCACACCAAGACTCTGGAAACATAAGACAAAACATCGCGAGGATTCATTTTAAGGCCGGAAGAACAGGAGAAAACACAGTCGTCGATGTTGATAATGGATAACACATTGGATAAAAATGGACTGGACTATAAGTGAAAGCTTATGTACTATGTCATTGAAATTGATGATATGGATATTTATTCGCAGCGAACTTAACACAAGTCTCATCCTGGGGGGAGCTAAGCGCCCACAGGTTTGCAAGTGATCCTCCGCCCGAACTGTTTTGTTAAGCTCCGTCCGAAATGCAACTGGTCGACTGACGAGTCGGTAAGACTCGTTAAGCTTGGGTTGTAAAGTATGCCCACATTCACCACAGTCCACTGCACAAGATAGATGCTGAGAGACTGCCGTGTGGGAGTACAGTTGGCGGTTGCGGCCAGGCAGGTCGGGTTTGATTATGTAGTTCCAACTTGCCTATCTGCGGACTGGTCCATTGCCATTGGTGAGCAAAGTGATTTGAAGGTGACTCAAGAGATCGCGAAAAGGCTCGCTTTGCGACGTCTTCATTCAATACCTCGCGAACCGGCTCGTTGGGCCACGTCATGAAGCCCTGATGTGAGGCTCCAGATCCATTTATCTGGCGGTTCCTGTGGGTCAGATGAACCACATTGCAATGTGACTCTGAAAAGACACGATAAAACATTGTGAAGAAGCGGCTGCTATCAAGCAGGCAGACCATAGCACTTCGAATCAAATAGTAAATCGAATACTCGAATCGATTCGATTCGAGTCGAATAATGCCCACCTAAAATTTGGTGCGAATATTCGACTGAAATCAAATAATGGAATAAATTTTCATCTGGGGCCTTCTGGGCCCCGGAGGAGGTTTCATAGAGTGTATATGGGGCGACGGGGACCCTACACACCCCTACCCGCTACCCGCCTTATACATAGGCTGCTGATATAGGATATCCCAGATATCCTGCTCCACCTCAGGCATCAGACAACCGCAACCAACTACTAACCTCTCTCCCCGACCATGGAAAGCTCCAGTGATCCCCCGCCCTCAACCAAATCTACTACGGAACCATCCATGAAAGCGAAATCGGCGGTCGTTAATCAATCAGTGACAGCGAGCTCGTTTTTTGGTCCCCCCGATAAATCTGGCAAACGTGCCTGCTTGATTGACTCCTGTGGCGATACGCTTGTGGTAAACAAGTCAACCAAGACCAACTTTGTGAATCACGTGGCTCGTAAGCATCCCGGCGAATGGAAACTTGCCCTTGAAGCGGCCGAAAATCCCGACGAATGCCTTGAAACTCCACACAGCTCCGGTACCCCTGCCACTTCCGGTTCCCAGTCAATGTCAACATCTCAAGCCAAAGGACCTCTCCAACAGATTATGCTCAAGTCTCGGCAGGCTAATTTTGACACTAACATTATCAACTGGATCATCGAGGATCAGCTCCCCTACGCAAAAGTCAAATGCCCTAAATTCATCAAGATGATTCATGGTCTTGACCCGGGTATCACCATCTTCAGCGAGCATACGGTTTCCCGTCGAATCAAGGCTCTTTATGCTGATAGTAAACCAGTTGTCTTCAGATTCTTGAAAACCCAATCCGAGCGCTTCTCTTTCACGACCGATATCTGGTCCTCAGCTGGCGGAACCCCTTATATCTCGCTTACTTGTCATTTCATCTCAAAGGATTGGAAGGCAACTTCAGCAACCATCGGCTTCAAACCCTTCCGAGAAAAGCACACTGGCACCAACATCCACGACAAAATCCTCCAGATCTTTGAAGAGTTCTTTTGCGACGAACTGGCCTCGACTTCGAAAAAACGAAAAGCATTGGTGATCTCCGACTCTGATGATTCTGACAACGATTCTAGCTCATCCGATTCCAATGACTCCGAATCCAATGAGAACATAGATGGCGATTCAGGAGCTGCACTTGAGAACACATCCCCATCGAATGACATATATGATCTCTCGTATCTGGGAAAGAAAATCATATCAATCACTTTAGACAATGCTTCAAACAACGACAAATTCATCCAGAGCGCCCTTGACTCCAAACTCCTCAGCTCTCCTGAATGTCACATCAGATGTTTCGCCCACATCCTCAACCTTGCGGCAAACGAAGTTCTCAAAACCGTTGAGGCTTCATTAACCAAACTTCGAGCAGTTATCTTACATATCCGACAGTCTGATCAAGTCTTTGGCACATTCCAGGGTCTTTGCCTTGAAAACAACGTCAAACAATCAAGACCAATCATCAACAATGCCACACGCTGGAACTCCACCTTCAACATGCTCAATCTCGCTATTGTTCAAAGACCTGCGATTGACGATCTTATCTCGTTGTGCATGAAGAATAACCGAGCTAGTCAAAAAGGACACAAGAAGAAATCGAAATCGAAATCAAAGAAGAAGGGGAAGACTGCCTCTGGCCCAACTCAAGTTATGGATGCATTGCGGGAGGCTAATGATAAGAAAGCTCGAGAGATGGTCAGTATTCCTCTTATCAATTATTTTCAATTGATATCACTTGGCTCCATTGCTAACGCAAGACGACCTCCATCATATAATTTTAACAGGAAGTCATAAGCAATGATGATTGGAACCTATTTGAGTGGATTCACGAGCTCTTGGAGAAGTTCGAACAGGCATCGATAGACACCCAAGGCGAATTCTATGCGACTCTCACAATTGTGATCCCATGGTACAAGGTACTCACGGACCACTGCAACGACACCATCAAGAAGTTCACCAGATCTCGTCGTCCATTGAGATCGGTCATGATCGAAGCAGCTAAAGCTGCTCTTGAGAAGCTCCAAGGCTATTATTCAGTCCACTCCCGACACTCTATACTTGCGGTCGTTTTGGATCCGCGCTTCAAGCTAACTCTCTTTGAACAACAACCGCTCGATCCCAAAGATAACAATGCAGAGGACAACAACTCGGATACAAATTGCGAGACCCAGATCGAGTTCAAAGACCAAGCGATGAACGTTTTACAAGAAACTCTTAAGGATTACTCAACAAGACGTCCAGTCAAGCAGAAAGCAAAGTCTGACATAATGGGATCCGATTCAGCCACCAAGACTACAAAAGCAAAAGAAACATTCCACCCGTTACAAAACTACAAGAAAACCGCAAAGCCGACTCTAAACGATGAAATTTCAACCTACATGCAAATGCCTGAACCCCCTTTCAACAAAGACATCATCGATTGGTGGAAGGAGAATCAGTATGTCCTCCCAACACTATCGATGATTGCCAAGGACTACCTTGCGATTCCAGCCAGTTCAGCAGCAAGCGAACGGGTTTTCTCTCAGTCCGGTAATCTAGTTTCAGTAAAGAGAGTCTCTCTCTCAGGTGACTCAGTTGAATCAAATATGTGTATGAGGTCTTGGCTCCGTGGTAACTTAGTTGATACAGCTTATAATCTCATTAAAGATGACTAGAAGTTTTTTTATCTGTCTTTTTTTCTTTATTTCATCACTTCCTCTCTCAATAACCCATACATGAACATTCAAGTAGTCTAATGTAGTCTAATATATATCAAATTATATGTATGACTGACTGCCTGAAATGAAACATACCTCTGCTTTTGACACATAATGTCAAAAACACCAAAAAAACAACTTTTCAGTTTTTTTCCGTCGAATATCTGCTAATACTCGAATATTCGACGAATCGGTATTCGAGGGTCCACAAAAATGTGTCTAATACCACCATGCTATGCTTTGCTGAAGCAGGTCGGGCTCGGCCAGCTCTGCGGACCGGTCATACGAGTCTGACGGAGCACCATCTTACTACTCTCCAACCCAGTTATCAACATCAACAATGGTAAATTCTCTTCCGCTTATGTATGATCTTATGTGTTTTGATGCAAACGTGCTGAAATTTCTGGCCATGGTTTTTTTCTTAGCTGGGTTGTCTGTTGTGCCATGAAAGACAAGCCGAAGCCAATCGATGCTTTGGCTCGATGAAACAAGAAATCAGGCAAGTCTTTCTTTGGATTAATCATGCACTTCAGTGAGCATGATGGCTAATCAGATCTATTTCTTTTTAGTCCAACAATTCCTAGTGCTGCACTTGCAACATCATGATTCATCTCATTGATCTCTCTCTTTTGGAAATTCTACTTTTTTTTTCTGTACAACTTTCTTCTCTTTTTCCATTTATCAACTTGTTTGAGTCCTCATATGCCCGCTTTCAAGCTTCATACATGCTATTATGATTTTGATTTCAATTGTCTCATTCCTAAACCAGTGTTGAGAGTAGTCTAGATTCACTGAGAATATACTAAATTTTTGATATGTCAATTCAATCCCTCAATGTCGAGTTGTCCGTATTCTCTGAGGTTTGACTGATACCTCGTCAGGTTGAGTGTCAATAAATAAGGGTGTTGACAACTCATCCTTGGAAAGAATAGTTCCTCCAAATTGACAATGCATATATGATTGTTAAGCAATTGTGGCTTCTCCCTATGACCATAGCTCATCGAGACTGTGGGTCGGGTGTCGGATCATAGAAAACCACCAATTAGGTCTATGTCTCTATCTCTGAGGGTCATTAGAAAATTCACTACACAGAATGAACGTGATAAATAAATATTTTGAGACCTAAAATATGCCACAGAGTCATGATCAGTCTTTGTAGGCTCCGGGTGGCCTAACGGACAGTATATTTAAGGATTGCATAATGCATCTTACCCTTAGCTCAAGTGACCCCGGAGATACAGTCTCTACATGAATCCTCCTGAACCGCTTGTGCCTCATTACTAGCCATCTAGAGATGTGATCTCTATCTCACTCTGTGCTCTTTCTGATATCTCAATTAGTATATATGGTTGTGCTTTGTTCATTGGTCTGCCAGAGATACTTAAGACACATTAGGTCAGAAAAAAAAGAGAAAAAAAAGTTTGCTACGGCGCTGGACTCTTGCACCAATCATTTTGGTAAATTCTAGACTGACGCCGTCCATTGCCAACCCTGGTGTCACGTATAATTTTTCATCGGTCAATTGATACACGAACTGTTACTGTGACACCCACAGGCCAAGGGTTGAGCAAACACGGCTGCAACGCCGGGCCTTTGTTTTTGCTGAGCTCCGCGTCAGAAAAACCTTTCAACAAAGGATCCAGGCGCAGCGGAGCTGGAATGCGGCTCAGGAGTTATCCTTCTGAGCCGTTGCTGCTGCTTTCTTCAATGCTGAGCTATTGGTGCTGCATTCTTGGATATAAAAGACTGACGATGAACACCACCCTCCACTCATCCTCTCCTCCCAGCACTACAGTCCAATCCCTCTCCTTCCCTCTCACAGGCCCCACTACCACTTGGCCGGTTCCCTAACCATGGCTCACTCCTATGCCCCCCTGATTTCATCTCCCCTAGCCAACTCTGGACCAAGGCCGCCTGCAGGCATCATATTTGGTGCCGCCGCATGCACCCCAAAAACTTGCATATTCATCAACCTTTCAGAAGCCCGGAACTCTCCCCACTACACTTCCAGCGCCTCCCACCAATACCGCTTCACCCAAAATGGAATTGCGCTCTTCGCTGTCAACGGCACCAACTTCCACATCAAGCCAATCTCTGAGGATGATGAAGATGACGACGATACTTTCTGAATTCTTGTGAGTTTCCATCTGCCTCCTCTCATCCAAGCGACTATTCCTGACCATTTTTGCTCGCCGACTCCCTTCAAACAGACTCCTTTTCCCATATAGTTTCTCCTACAACAATTGTATATTAGTCAAAACGTTTCTATTATTCCAGTGCGCACACACCACTGTTTTTCATTTATCTGGCCGCATACCTTGGCAGTTTTGGCTTTAATTGTAATTCCTATATCCACTATTATCTTCAAAACAATTATCAATGCCAGAAACTGTGAATTTTCTTTTCCACTTTTTTGATTCAAGTGTGTTGATATAAACGCGCTAAAAATCGATGATGATGGTTTCCTTCTCACCTAGGTTGTCTGTGGCGCCGTGAAAAAATGCCAAAGCTGGAAATGCCTCGGGTTGATGAAACAAGCAATGAATAAAGGATCAGGCAAGTCTTATTCTGGATTAGTCCCTGCACTTCACTGTCAGTGATTATGATGGCTAATCAGATGCATTTTTATCACAGCTCAATGATTCTTGGCTATGAACCTGCAACCTCTTGATCCACCCCCTCCCTCTCTCTTTTTGAAATTCTGATTTGTTTTGTTCACAATATCTTTCCTTTCTTTTTGTCAAATAAAATAACTTTCTATCCCTCAGAAACACACATATGTCTCCTTGACATCTGCTGCTACAATCCTTATATCCCCATGAAATTCATGATGTCCAGAATTGTCCAGATTAATTTGAGATTTAGCTGGTGACCCATCCGGCAACGCCCAAGTGATTTTTACCTATTGAGGGAGATAGCTATTCATAGATATAGCTTATCGAAGCTGTTTTGAGGAACATTACAAAATAGACTAGGCAGATTGAATGTTATACGTAGGTATATCTTTGAGACCTGAAAAGGCCAGGAGCTCACGTCCAGCTTTGTAGGCTCCAGCTGGCCTGAGAGGGAAATAGAATCTACTTCAAAAAAAGAAAGAAAAAATCGCCGGCCTAACTTTGCGATCATTTTTAATGGTTAGACTGATGTCGTCCATTGCCAACCGGATTGTTGCACATAGCTTCTCATGTGTAAGTTTGACCATGGTGAATTCAGCACCGAGGGCACAGGTATTGACCAAACACGGCTGCAACACCGCCTTTGTGTTTGCTGAGTCTTGTGTTACACAAATTTCTCAACAAAGGTTCCTACAGGCTCAGCGGAGTTGGAATGCTGCTGAGGGACTACAATCCTTCTGAGCCGTTGATGCTGATCTCAATACCGCTGAGCCCTTAGGTGCTGCCTTCTGGGATATAAAAGACGGCCGATGAGCTCAACTTTCCTCCCATCCTCTCCTCCCAACACTCCATCCACTTGACCAGTTTCCCAACCAATATGGCTCACTCCCATGCCCCCCCCCACTTTCATCTCCGCTAGCCCACCCCGGCCCACACCCCGCCAAGGCCCTCCGCTTCGGCGCCACCCCATCTCTCCCCAAGCAATGCATCCTCATTGAGCTTGCCCAGGCGCGCCAGTTCCCCTACCTCACCGCCAGCGCCTCCCACCAATACCGTCTCACCCCTAAGGGAATCAGGCTCTTTGCCCAAAAGGGCGCTAACTTCCACATCCGCTTCTTCCTCGAGGTTGACCCAAAAGACAACCCGCCTTGAATTCTCAGATGGTCTCTTGCTTTCATTTCCTCTTGTCCATCCCATTTTTCTATCCCTTTGCCGATGTTGACTTCCTTCTATCAGACTCCCTTCCCTTATCTCTCTTCATATTTCTCAATTTCATTTCCCCCAAATTCTTTCAGAGGTAGGTCCTTCCAAGTTCCATGCTCCTTGAACTCTACTCTGTCTAATGTGTGTCATACCTTACTCCTTGGACATCAGATTGACCAGACCAGGCTTGACTTAAACTTACTCTTGGCCGGCCATCTTCAAAACAAGTATCAACGCCACCCATGGTAAATAGTTCTTTCAATCTTTGTATGATCTCAATCTCTTGATATGAAAACCCGCTCAAGTTGCTGAAATGATGACCGTCTTCTCTAAGACAGATTGTCCATGGTCCCAAGAGATGGCAGAGATGATTGGAAGCCCATCGGCCTATTCAAACACGCCACAAGGAAAAGAGATCAGGCAAGTCTTCTTTCGCATTACACCAAGCATATGAACAAATTTAATCACTCATCAGACCAATTTCTTCATACCCTAATCATTCCTTATAGAAACCAACCATTACCTACCATCTGTATCAATTCCCTCTCTCCCTTTTCTTCCTCTTGAAACTTGTCTCTATTTTTTCACTTCTGAAGGCTTGTTTTTTCCATCCCTCTTTCTCAATCTCCAAAGTAATATATTCATGTATGATGATATAAGTTAAATGCCAGTATAATTCTGAATTTCTAATGGAGAGTGTGACGACTTGAGGTTTTGACTGGTGACCGATGTGATGCACCCACAAAGCGTCATCATTGCAGCCTGCAGGGTCTACTCCTGAGGGGTGATCGCCGGTTACTTATAAAAATAACTTACCGAAGCTGTATTTAAGTAAATCGGAACGCAGAAAACAACTGGAATGGTCCACGTGTTTTTTGCCCTCTGTCTATGCTGAATTTTTATCAACAGACACCCATCTTTGATATTCTTTCATTTATTCAAATTTCACCGCCCCCCCCCCTTTTTTTGAAAAATTCCTTCGACCGCTGGAAAATTATCGACACGGTGAGTCTTTTGTTTATTTTTGATGACTGAATGCGCTACAATGCTAAAACGATTTTTTCCTTCTCATAGATAGTTTTTCCATCATTCAACCAGAACATGGCCAAGCTGGAAATGCCGCGGCTAAAAATGAAACACACAAAAAGGATAAGAGAAAAGTCAAGTCTTCTTTTAAATTACTGCATGTATATCAGTGAACATGATTGCCAAACAGACCCATCTCTTCAGAAATTCAACTTTTTTTTCCCCTTCCTCTCTTCATTTTTGAATCCCTAAGATTTCCTCATCTTCCATCACTTTGGCAAACAACAATAATTTTATAGTAAATTATGGCATGCTAATTTGATTCATAATTTCAAATTGAGAGTGTGATTATTTGAGGCGTCGCCTGGTGATCAAGGCACCTCCCACGCGTAAATAAATGGCATGTGTGTATTCCAAGGATCGTTGAGTCCCCCAAGATGATCCTGATTATTGAATTATTAAGTGATGTTTTCGGATCATGGAAAACAACTGGATTGGTCTATGTCTTAGCTTATGAGGAACATGATATTGTTGAACTTGAGCATCCACAGATTCTTGCTTGAACGTTTGATTTATGGGTCCGGGTCCAGCCACCTGGCCCCAAGGTCGATGAAGCATCAAGTTCTCAACCAATCTTCAACTGGTGAGCGTTTTTTTTTTCACCTTCCCCCAAAAATAAGTTTTTGAGAGCTAAGAAGATGCTCAAAAGGTGACGAATTTTTCAGGCTTCGCCGGCTGAGGATGTCTGGCCTGCTGGACATACTGATATGACCGTAGATCTTTTTCCCCGACTCTCTGGACAGTTGATCTCTATCTCTTCCGGTGCTCTCCATATCTCTGCTATTTGTGATCTCTCAGTGTTTGACTCTCCTCTCTGTATTTATTGTTGCACTTCATCAATCTGTGTTTCGTACAAATTATAAAAAAAAAAGTCTGCCACCGCTATGGAGGGATTACCTTTGTGATCGGTTTGGTAGGTACACTGCCACCGCCCATTGTCAAGTGGAGTGTTCCACATAGCAGCTTTCCATCTGAAAGTTGTCCAAGTAGCGCCGAGTGTCCAGCGGTTGAGCTAACACGGCTGCAATGCCGGACCTTTGTGTTTGCTGAGCTTCGCGTTGAAAAAAATAATAATAATCTTCCAACAAAGGCTTGAGGCTCAGCGGATCTGGAATGCGGCTCAGGGATTCTAATGCTTCTGAGCCGTTGGTACTGCTTTCGCTGATGCTGAGCCATTGATGCTGCATTCTTGGATATAAAAGACTGCCGATGAACTGCCCTGTCCTCTCATCCTCTTCTCCCAGCACACCAACCACCCTCCTCTCACTGACCAACCCTACTACCACTCGACGATTCCCTTAACCATGGCTCACGCCTATGCCCCCCTGATCTCATCTCCCCTAGCCAACTCTGGACCAAGACCGACTACGGGTATTGTCTTTGGTGCCGCCGCATGCACCCCAAAGACTTGCATCTTCATTAACCTCGCAGAAGCTCGGAACTCTCCCCACTACACTTCCAGCGCCTCCCACCAATACCGCTTCACGCCCAATGGAATCGCACTCTTTGCCGTCAACGGCACCAACTTCCACATCAAGCCCATCGCTGAGGACGATGAAGATGATGACGAAACATTCTGAAGTCTTGTCAGTTTTCAATCTGCCCCCTCTCATCCAAATCAATATTCTGACCTTTTCGCCGCCAACTCTCTTCAAACAGACTTCATCTCCGATATCTTCTCTTCTACAATCATTGTATATTAGTTCAATATCTTTTATTCTTCCAGTGCGCACACATCAATGTTCTTGATTTATCTGGCCTTATGCCTTGAACATTCTATCCACGAGTTGATGTATGACTTTACTTAAACTTCTCATGTCCACTATCACCTTCAACGCAATTATCAATGCCAGAAATTGCAAATATTCTTTCGAGTTTTTTGATATAAGTGTCTTGATATCAACGCGCCAGAATCGTTAATGATGGTTTCCTTCTCAGCTGGCGACGTGAAAAGACTCCAAAGCTAGAAATGTATCGGCTTGATGAAGCAAGCAATGAATAAAGGATCGGGCAGATCTTCTCCTGCTGGACTCCCCATGCGCCTGAGTAAACATATGATGGCTAATCAGATCCATATCTATCATAGATCGATGATGAACTTTAGCAATGAACCTGCGCCCTCTTGATCCATCCTCCCCCTCTCTCTTCTCATGAAATTCAGCTTTATTTTTCTTTCCAACTTTGTCCTCTATTATTTTATTTTTTTTCAAAAAACCACATTGTACTCCTCCTCGACATGCTCACCCATTGCATACATGCACTCAAGCTTTTGGGATTTCTGTTGAATTATCCAATTTTCAATCGAGTGTTGATTGTCGTCCACATCAAATTTGGTATACTGACCAGAGAGACTTAAGTTTGTTTTGGGCAATCCGCATTGTGATTTGATGGAGGTTTCCTTTGGAGTCTATGTAGGTGGTCTACATGTGTTGAGTTAAGCCCTGCTGGGGGGGTTTCCAGTGTAGTACCGACTACCACAGTCGACATCCACTTCTTCTTCATTCATCTTCTCTCTGCTACATACTTTCACCATTCTCCATCCGTCCTGTCAATCCCAAGGATGTCTTCTTCCTCTTCCTCACTCTTTCCTAATTCAACACATCATCATGCCAGCCATCAAGAACAGCAACAGCGTCGATCGAAACAACAACTGGAACCGCCTTCAGCCTTAAGACTCCGATCGAGGCAAAACAATAATCCAAACACCCATCAACGTCGAGTATCAACACACTCAACCTCATCCACCATTCTCACTAATATCACCAGCTCAGAAACATACTCGAGCCTCCTCAAACAGATCCGGAAATCATCCCCTTCCAACTACCACTACCAAGAAGAACAGAGACTGATGATTGCAAGTTATGGTGCTCAATCACCAATCAGGAAGACGATCGGCTCATTCATCAAGGCCGGTCAATCCAGATCATCGATCATCGCCTACTCGATCCTCTTTATCCTCTTGTGGAAATCCTTGGTCGGCTTGGGTCCTTATAGCGGCTACCGTTGCCCTCCATTATTTGGCGATCTAGAGGCTCAGAGGCATTGGATGGCAGTCACCGTTGAACTGAAGCTAAAACAATGGTATTCATTCGATCTAGAGTGTATGCCTTTTTATCTCTCTCTCTCTCTCTCTCTCTCTATTAGATAGAGAAAAAAAAACATTTCTATTCTGATCAAGATTAATCAATTGCTTTTTCTTTCTTTTTAAGATTGGGGTTTAGATTATCCGCCTTTGACGGCCTACCATTCGCTATTGCTAGGTTTTGTAGCAAGGATCATCGATCCGGCATTTGTTCTCCTTCGACCACCCTCAGATCATCCAAACGGTTGGGGAGAAGAACTACATGACCAGCTCAAGGTTTTCTTGAGATCCACCGTTCTAGCAAGCGAACTATTACTCTGGATCCCTATCGTACTCATATATCATTTCAAGACTTTCTCTCTCAACTCCTCCTCTTCCTCAGTAGATCAATCGAATCATCTCTCTCAAGAATCTAATCCCCCTAGACTCTCGAATGGCTTGTGGCTTGGTGCAATATATTCAGCTCTCGTCCTCCTCCTCAACCCTAATCTAATCCTCATCGATAATGCACACTTTCAGTTCAACTCGATCATGCTTGGTTTCACTCTGGCTAGTGTCACATGCTTTTATTCTGGCCATGATCTTCTGGGCGCTGTGATGTTTGTGTGCAGCTTGGCATTCAAGCAGATGGCTTTATATTATTCACCTGCTATGTTAGTCTCGATTCATCAACTTGTCATAGAGAGCTACGATCCAGAGGGCTAATCAGTCTGTTTATTCGCCTCTATGTCTAGATTTGCATATCTTTTCGGGAAATGCTTATATCTCGGTCATCCACGTGGTACAAAACTATTTACACGCCTGGCGCTGATCTCAACGAGTACGACGATACTATTGTTTGGACCGTTCATATTCAATGCAGATTTCCCACAAGCGATCATCCAAGTAATCCAACGAATCTTCCCGATTGGTCGAGGACTGTTTGAAGATAAAGTTGGTAACTTTTGGTGTACATTGAACCTGTTCATAAAAGTCCGTACTCTGGCCTCCGTCAAGACTCTCGCCAACATTGCACTCCTCTTTACCCTAGCGGCAGTCCTTCCGGTCACCCTACTCCTGATCATCTTAAGTTGGAAACTGAACCCAAGCCGATCATCAGTCTCTTCATCCTCCTCAAAATTCCCCTTACTTCCAGCAGATCAATCAAGTCCTATCCCTAAGACCATCGAGCTCCTTCCATTGGCGCTCTACAATTCATCGATCGGATTCTATTTGTTTTCATTTCAAGTACACGAAAAAAGCATCCTGCTGCCCGTCTTGCCCCTCTTATTAATCCTTTCTCGACACCATAGGAATCGCAAGCGAGGACAACTTGTCAATAGGCTGGACTGGGATATCATTTGTTTGATCAGTAATGTATCGGTTTTTAGGTGCGCTCAAGGTTTGTTTCTCTCCTCTTTGCGTCCATCATCCTCAAGCAAGTTGAATTTGACGATTGACAAATCAATGCCGTTTTTTGTTCGCGATCTGAACTATCGTTATTTCAATGCAGCATGTGGCCACTCTTGAAAAGGGAAGAACTGGGAATTCAATATTTGGTCTCGATCGTATCATATAACCATTTAATCGGTTATAATCCATTGAAGTTGATCAGACGATCAACCAGGAACTTGATTACGTTGATCATTATGTTCATCTACCTTGCGATGATCGGCATCCATCTCTCAGAAAAGCTGACCATGCCTCCCAGCCGGCTGCCCGACCTATTTGTGGTCCTAAACCAGTCATTAAGTTTTGCCACCTTCAGTGTCAGTTATCTGTGGAGCTTGCTCCGAATATATGAAGAAGCCTGGACTCTCGTCGGTTTTGGGCGGCTCAGTCAGCATCCTCCAGAAACGGGCCATCCCAACCTGACCAAAGTCTCGGAGGAAGAACACGATCAAAACGAGATTGAAAAGGACGAAGTAGGAGGAGGGTTGAGGAGTGAAGTGGATGAAGAGGATGAAGATGAGGAGTCGTCGGAAGCGCTGAACGTGAAACTACCTGCGAAGCGATCGTCGAGTCTACAACAACAGCGGCGGAAGAAGAAATCGGGCTCAGACTCGGAGGGAGAGGAGCTGAAGAGCCGATCATTTGGGGCGACACCAAGGATGCTCAAGGTGGGACCACTCCCACAGCGGATGTTGAAGGAGCCAACCGGGTCGGGCAACCGGGCAAGCTCGAAGGTGATGATCAGTTCGCCGAGCGGCGAGAAGCTGATGAACCGGATCAAGAACCGCTTGCATGTCGCCGCCTCCAGGTCCGCTAGCCCCTCCTCATCCTCCTCAGCCAGTCACCGTAGTTCTTCCCTCGAAGATCGTAGAAGGACTAGTGGCAGCAGTAAGGGCAAGGAGAAAGAGGACGACCATGAGCTCGACGATCAGGGCGGGAACCAGGCTGATGGGAGACATCTTAATCACTCCTCTAGAGAGCCCGCCGAATACCATCACCCCCCACAATCACAGTCCCATCACATTCACTCGCAGAATCTGATGGATTTGATGGAGGGAGACGAGGCTCACAGACAAGTAGACAAGCAGAAGCAGGAAGAGGAGCAGAGAGGTGAAAGGAGGAAGGATCAGAGGGAACGTGAAAAGGAGATCCCCACCCCATCCAGTCCTTATCGGCTCGAATCCGCCTGGGAGCTCGCACTTAGACAGAGTAGAGAAGAAGCTATTCGTAGACGTAGGGAAGAACTCTTGGCTACTCGAACTCCTACGAATTCCTCCTCTAAACGTTAATCATCTCTCTCTCTCTCTTTGTTTGGCTTAAATTAAGATTCATTCAGATTTCTTCAAAAAAAAGTATATTAGACTAATTAATCACATAGAGCTCTTCACTTTTTTACACATACAAGCACACAAGTATTTATCTTCATTTTTTTTTTTCAAAAGGGCTTGAGTAAAAACAATAGTGTTATAAAGTGTATATGAAACATGATCAGGAGATTCTTCCTTCTTGTCTATCGACTACACAATTCTGAACCCTGGCAGCTTGGCTCTTCTCCGGTCTGATAGGGTGTTTTTTTTTAATGCAGGACAGATCATTTATCACGTCGTAAACAATAATGCAGTCTTCATATTTTTTTTTCCCTTGTTCCCTCTTTCAAAAGATCTTCTTCACACACATCTTACTCGAAATCGAATCAAATTCTCAAAACCACACCGGTTTCTAAAAGTAAATGATGTTGATCCACGTTTTTGATTCTCACTTTCGTGGTAAACGTAATTAATCCACTAATGGTGATGCTAATGGTCTGGAGGAAGGACATCGCATTTTGCACATTTTCTTTTGCACGACCGATTCTTCCATCCCTGGTTTCATTATTTTTTTTACTATGGATTGAATAGGATAAGTGGATTTGGATGGGGCAAGAGATGTTCACTGAAAATCGAAGAAACAGAAGCATCAGATGAATCTCAATGTCGAGACAGAGCCAGATGGAAACATTCTAGTCTACAAGAAGATTGGAAAGGGAGGACCGCCGACCTTTTTCCATCTTCCACGCGTCCTAGATCTGCTCGATGACGGTGTATTGTTACTGTTATTGATCGACGTGGTTGTTGTTGTCGGAGTTGATGTTGATGCAGTTGTTGATGAAGCTTTATTGGCTTTCCCGGTGTTTCGCGATCGACTGCTTGAAGTCGTTGGTGGACGATGATGATGAGATGAATCGGTTCTATTTGATGTTTTCAACTTTTTGGTTCGGGCTTGTATTTATTTTTGACAATGTAGAAGAAGAACAATGTCAGCACATGCTGTGATAAATCAAGTTATGATTTTTGAGAATAAGAGGGAGAGAGAGAGGTGGTTAGAAAGACAGACGTTCAGGCTCGGGTTCTTCTTCTTCCTCTTCTTCCTCATCTTCCTCGTCATCTTTCCCCTCGAGCTCTTTATCCTCCTCCTCCTCGTCATCATCGTCCTCATAATCCTCCTGCTCGGTCAAGTCACTCTCCATTCCTTCTTGGATGGTAGGGTCGCCGATCCGATGATCGGAGCCCGACTTAGCAGCGGAGGAGGGGTTGAGATACTTGGAGGATGAGGACTGGCCGGAGCGATCGAGGTGCAGCTTCAGGGAGTTCGCCGTCGTCCGTCTTCGTGGTGAGCTCACCATCCCCGGCGAACGCTGTTCTGGAGACGAACGAGCCGATGAACTCTCGAGTCGACGCTCATCGATCAAGCTCTGGAATGACTGCTCCGCTGGTATGCTGGGGTGGATCGGTAGCTGGAACTCTCGGAAGAAGGTATGTTGCTTGGATCGTAAGAGCTCCACCGTCGATTTATTGCGCTCGATCTCGTCTGGCTCATCTGGTTCCTACCATCGTTACATGATCAAGATTCTGGGTGTCAATTTTTCTTTCTGTTTTCCATAAATGTTGGATCGAGAAAGTTAATAAAAAAAACAAACCATTTCGGCGAGTATATCAAGGTCATAACAAGTTCTCAAAGTGTTCCAGATCTCATCAGAAGGGATGACGGTCTGTAATTCACGTTCCAGATCTTTACAGATCCCGACCATGGAGAAGTGTCTGTTGGATCCTCTAGGACGATACCTGATAATCGATCGAAAGAAGGCCGTCTCTCCATCGGTTGTTGATAGTACCTCGGATGGCTGGAGGCTTGCTTCGGCTGTCGAACTGGCCATATTTTGAGTGCTTGTTGCTTGCTAGCTTTTTGTTTTTTCTGAGTTTGTTGTTGTTGTTGTCTCCCAACTGGGAAGGAAAAACCTCTGAACCCCCTCCTCCCCTCACACTCCGCCAACAACAAAAACACACTCCACTCTTATCTCTGCTGAAGTCTGCGCTCTGCCAGGTCATAAATATGTAGAGCCGTCGAAACAAGTTAGTTGACGACGATCACTGATACCCAGATAAATAATTATGCAGCCACCAGCGAATCAGAATACAATAACCAAAACAGAGCCTCAAAACCTGCAATCGAAGGTTCACCCCTTAAGTCCGCTGGACCATCAATTGACTGCCGGTCCAGGGCTACATACCGTCATATTCCGATTTATAAAGTGTTGGGACTCACTTATTCGACTGCCATTTGCAGGCCCTTCAAAATGATCCCTCGCCGTATGCTGCTGTCCTACCTTACAATTAGCCCAATCTGGTGGTATTTGATGCTCGAGTTTACCACATTTCCAGTGAGCCCGACCCTCGAACGTGGGCCTATCTTGCCGGACGAACTCGAAAGCTACTCAGTGGAAAACTTCTTGGGATTGAGCTACATCGTTGCACCGAGCTTGAGTCCAGCCGAATTGGAACAGGAATGGGAATTATCACAAAGCACCCCAACACCACTGCAACTCCACTCAGAGAATCCACACATGGCAGCAATGAAGCACAAATACAACGACCAACTGCAACTTTCCGGCTCGCGTTCAATTCCTTCCTCACAGCTTTTCCAATTTAATGCTCAGCGTCATCTGAATTCCGGTACGTTTCAGCTGTTTGCGTTCGATTTGCATGATGCTTCAACACTCTATCGAGGTTTTTTTTCTATGGATAATTACCTCGAGACAAGTTCTTGAGAAAAATGATTGACATAAATAAATCCGGTAGTCTGTTGTGAATATGTCCAGGGTTATCGCCGCGGTGATTCGGGTGGTGTATATCAGTCAATGGGCCCTCCAAATTGGGATAACTTTGCCACCCACTCAAGATCAACAATAGTCGGGAGCAACAGTAAGACAATGATACCCAAGACGAAGCGGCCATATATACGAAATTGGGTGATCGAGGAGCCGCTTCTTCATCAATTCTTTTTGGATCACAAAAATGAAGTGGTGATGTCCCCACTCAGTCTAATCCATCTCTGCTGTCATTCCAAACCAGACAAACAACGCCAATGTCATCTAAAAACACTTTACAAGTGCTTGCTTCAATGCACATATGAGAACCACGAAAACCTTCTGGATCACTTTAATTTGCCAATTTACACTTACAAGGACCACCAAAGAAAATTATTAGAATGGCTGCATGCATATCTTATCCTGTCCACCTCTGGCGACACTGACAGGGAACACCCAGTTGGCCAAGATTATTTGTCCAATGGATCGCTTGACTCCACTCAAGTCATTCTTGTGAAGTATTTCTCACAGCCGAATTACGCTGATCAGATGGTCCAATTCACTGCTTCACATCTTGTAGAACAGTATCAAACACAAAATAAAAGTGAGTTGGTTTGACTTGATGAGTGCTGTTTAATGATGGAGTTGAAATCTGATGGATTCATCCCTACTCTATTTATCTGAATGGATTGGTTGTAATGAGTAGTAAATTATTCATTATTGAGTCAGCCTTCATGGTCCATTCAAGAAAAATCTATGCAATTAGAGAAGGATCCAATCCTTCAACAAGAAATATTATTTCTCAAATGTCTTGCAATCAACCTAGAGAATTCTAAAGCCAAATTGAATTGGGAGGCTATTCTGCAGCGTCCAAAATATGAAACTTTAGTGCCATGTTGGTCAGATTTCAAAAAGGAATACAGAAAAGTGACCAGAGTGTTTGCAGACCGTTCACCAAGATGTACTCTCAAAACCTACCATCCATTGTTACCAATCCTATTGATCTTTAATATGAAATCACCAACTCATGGGAATCTCAGAATCCTAAAAGCTGAAAACAGAAGTTTGATGGAGGAAATAGTAGTGATCAAAAAGATTCAAGTGTTGATAAGAACCCTAGATGAGATGTATGAGAAATTCCTCAAGACATTCATCAAGAATGATCATCAAGAGGAGGGAGATGAAGGGAAAGAGGAAAGGAAGAGTCTGTTGAGATGGTTGATCAAAATCCTCTTTAGACCAGAAGACAGTATACCCATAATTGGTGTCATTCAAATTGACCATCAATCTCAGCTGGCACCTTGGGATAAGAAAAAAAGCATCAATTCATTTGGAAAGGTTCAAATCAAATTGATTGAATTTCTTTCCCACTTTCAAACTCAAGAAAGTTTGAATAACACAGCTGCTTTTGTGTTATACACTTGGTTACACAATCATCATCAGTCAAATAAAATTATCAATTATGTAATCAAGAATACATACTTCAATTGCTTATATAGACATCATCAATGGTTAGAAAGAGCGTGTCCAATCAGTTCTGAATCTTACTTTGTTTGGATGGTGGGAATTTCACTGGATTTTCAAAATCAGTATGAGGATCCATTGGACAGGCTTGTCCAATGAATTCATTCTGGAAGCAATTACCTAAGAAACCTACATGGATTTGTATCTGCGCCAGAAGAGCAATAATTAGAGCAAAAAGTTAAATACTATGTGCTTACATGTTATGCACCACAAACAATATCTATTTTTCCCCAGAAAGAAATATAGTGTTGATTTTTGGGTGGGGGGGGGGAAATAGCATACATAGTGAAAATAAGGTTAAGTTGAGCTATTTTAGCCAGCATCAAATAAGCTGAAATAAACTTTGGATTTTGAGGCTTTTTTTTTGGCTAAGATAGCCAATTTTAGCCTAATTTTTGATACTCAGACGTTTTGTGAAACAAAGTGCAAGGAGAATGTGTGATTTCCCCTGAATCCTGACCCAGAGTGTGATTTTTTCCGGGGTCAAGATAGGTATTGTTTGTATAAGTGATACATCCTTGCAGTGCATTGTCTAAACATGAAGGTTCTGCCTTCAGCAGAGCATCCCATTCTGTCTGCAAGAGATCCCATTTTCCCATTGAGACTTTACCCATCTCAATGGCCAAAGGAATCTTATCCAGCCCTTTCTGGATTCAGAGTAACCAAAATTCAGAACATCTGAATCAAGCCTGCTTGTGTGTGGTCACATACTCCAAAGCATTGATGTGGCTAAAAGCAGCATTTTTAGTGTGTTTGGCCACATCTGGCTCTTAACGGTGGTGATGTGGATGCATACCTAAACCAGCAATGGGCCACTACACTACACTACTCTAACCCCCCCCCCCCCCTCATGCTATCTTCCCTCAAAACAGTACACTATTAGTGCCACTACATTGTGTTACACTGAGATACAGCGCTTTTGGTGGCCAAAAAAGGCCAAAAAACCACTAAAATGCACTGTAGCACAGCATAATGGACCCTTGGTTTGTGACCTGCATGTATAGCATTAGCATAGAGTACGAGGAATCCTGCTGGGCTATGCCAAAATTTTGCAGGTTTCTTCTGCACTAATACTACACTTAATGTAATACAATTACCTAAACCCCCATTGTGTGTTGATCTACACCCCTGCAAGAGAAAAAACCTGTTTCATAAAATTAGACATTTCAACAGTACTGTAGATATTTTGCCAATCAGCCAGTCTTGGGTACTTTTCCAAAAGACTATGTTTGGAGGTAGGAAACCCACTAGAAGCTGGGTTTGGGACTGGAAATGCACATTCCCAAATTTTCCCTGATGTGTACATGTACTCAGATAGGGATTCTGGACCAGGACCCAGTGGGTCCTGAAAAAGCTTAGGAAAAGTTCATTTTTTTGTCTGAGCTGCATTTTGGGTTTTGCCCGCAACTTAATTATACATTTTGGTCATCCAACTCCATAGAGGGTACCTGGGGCTCTCCTTTTCCATGGTGAAGCACATCATATTTTTCCAGAGGGAGAAGTTTGTAGTAAAACAAAACGATTCACAATTTTGAAATCTCCACAGCATTCCACACATTTTTCAGGGAAGCTAGAGTTGCATACTGGTCAGACGGACCATGCAGTTCTACTTAATTATACATTTTGGTCATCCAACTCCATAGAGGGTACCTGGGGCTCTCCTTTTCCATGGTGAAGCACATCATATTTTTCCAGAGGGAGAAGTTTGTAGTAAAACAAAACGATTCACAATTTTGAAATCTCCACAGCATTCCACACATTTTTCAGGGAAGCCAGAGTTGCATACTGGTCAGACGGACCATGCAGTTCTGTATCCCGGAAAAGCACCTCTCTGAGGGATGGTACGAACGGCTTGTCCGTCCATTCTCCACCTTCACTTATCTACATTTTCGGGGATGTTTCATCCCCTAGGGTGTCCCAAGCCTTGGGGGGCTTCAAGACACCCAGTGTATGGGTTGTAGAAGAATATCTCATCAATTTGAGGCTTTACCGCTTTAGTCTTCTCACAAGCACTAAAGGAGCCTTCTTCTATGATGAGATTTCATTGAGACAGATAGAAGGGGACTGGGGCTGCGTCAAGCAGCTACCAGCGAGAAGAAGGGGTTTTTAAGGCACTGCTATACCCAGTACTCGGGTTTCTTCTGACATGAAAGCCAGAGCCGTAGCAAGCGAAAAACCCAATTCTTTCATGTCTAAAAGTCTAATTCTCCTACAACGTGTGTGGTTTAAGTAAAGCCACTGCTTCCAGTATTTCCTCTTCGGTGTATTGGTTTCAAGTATACTTTATATGCTCCTGATTTCCACCTGCCTAGCGCGCAGATCTGCCTTATTGGTATTCCTAGCGCGTTGCGTAGGGAAGCTCCTCCAACGCGAAAAGAGTGTCCCGTTATTCCTGAGAGGTCTACTTCCAGTGAGATGGATCGTATTTTGTTCATAACCGCCTCCCTTGTTAAATGGGTGCGCCCGCCTTCGGAAAAGTAACCGAAAAGTGAAGTGTCTAATCCACGTGCATCTGTTAAGCGCCTTCGAACAGCCATAACCGGACACAGGGTGCTAGGTTGTGATGCGAGTTTAATACGTTGTAGTTCTCCTGGTTTTGCCGTTTTTCCTCCACGAAGGGTGAGTATGGCTATATTGTTGGTTCTATTTTTTTGAAATGATACGTCTGAAGTCAGGATTGCTTCTGTCTTGTTTAGGTGTCCTCGTGCATTCGAGTAAGTGACTTCTTTCATCCTGCACATCCCCCAGAACGCGATGAGTGAGAGATCGGCCGTCGCTCTGTCTGATTCGTCGCCCAAGTTTAATCGATCCACTAACCTCTTCAGCTGGGTTAGGTGTATAGCTGTTTTTTCCTTTTTCAGCTTAAATTCCGCGTCCTTTTTCGCGCAAGCTTTCAAGATCAGGTTTAACTGTGCCCTTGAGTCGATGGGATATGTGAAGCCATGGAAATTGTGCCAGGCTTGGATGGCAAATAGATATTTCGTTAGGGTGACCGCGGTGATTGCGTCTGTTCCTTTTATCGAAGTCCTTCCGGCCCATAAACAGAATTCGGATAGGTCGCGAGACGTTGCTGGCAGGCAGAAAGCCTGGTTTCCTGTTTCTGTCTGGAATTTCAGGAATTTTTTCACCCCTGCGTTGTAGCTGAGAATTGTCGACCAGCTCCATGCATCGAGCAGATGGCGATGTTTCCAGTTGATATCTGCTTGCCTAGTGCCTGTTGAGGTAAATTGTTTTATCTTCGAAAGATCCATTTAATTCTTCTATGGTTAATCTGTCCTTGTGTCTTATGGGTGCGTTTAGTTCTGCTCTTCTAACTTCTTTCCGCCAAGCGGTTTTCTTTCCTTTTCTTTTCTTTTTTTTTTTTTTTTTTTCTTTGCATATGAAACAGGAATAGAATACATTATTTACATTATGGTATGGGAATTTATTATCTGTATTAAGTATGTACTTGTAACTCATCAGGTCTGTTTCAGAGCAATACCAAGAATAATACAGCTCTTTTATCGGGATAGCCTTGCAACTATAGTTCGAGTCCGAAAACCTGAAACAAGGAGCCGTTCAAGTCTAGGGGTACTTCTACGTCCACCTCGTCGTAGGCTAATCTGTCTGATCTTATTCCTCTGGACAATTTGTCTGCTTTGTTATAAGCCGATGGGACTCTTTTTGCAACAATGTCGATGTCGTTTTCTATGAGAAAGTTTTGAATTACTTTCCATTCTGAGTTGACTGATGGGTCGTAGGATTTCCTGTTTTTTATCACTCCTTCTGACGTTGTGTTATCCGTCCATACAATGAAAGTTTTACCTCTCTGAAGACCAATCTTCTCTAACATTATTAATCCCAATCGCACCGCCACCGTTTCTAACCAAGCTATACCGCGAGTGGATTGGCTTACCTTTCGCCATCCTTTCTTGAGTTGAAACTGAGCCCAGGATGAGCCGATGATGATTCCAATACCAAAATTTGTGCTGGCATCGCCTACCCAGCCGATTTCTGTGGCGCCTCGACTCCTAATTAGTCTGCTTCTGTCAAAACTTCCCAGGGTTTCCTTCCAAATAGACAGGTCCTGGATAGCTTCTGGTGATAGGGGTCTAAGGCGTTCTCGAAATACCCACCCACACAGCATCGCATACAGTGCGCACAAGTAGCATCTGAGCTGAGGTAGTATGTACGTCACGTGGTTTAGTCGGCCTACGAGTATCTCGATGTCTGTGTACGTTACCATTCGTCCGACTTTCAGGAATTCTTCGACCTGAGAAATTCGTTTTAGTATTTTTTCTTTCGGTAGACGTACTGTCTTGTCTACTCCGTTCCAAATGAAACCGATAAATTTCTGTTCCTCCTGGAAAGGAGAGTTCTTTGTGGTGTTTGTCAATACACCTAAGTCGGTTGATTTTTTGACTATCTCGTCCATGTTCGTCTGGCAGTCGACGCTCTTGACGAATAAGTTGTCGTCGACCCATCTGAAAACTGTGATTAGGTCGAAGTAATGTAACATAATGTCTTTCCACGCATCAGCTGGTCGCCCAAAGGAGCCGCAGCCAGCAACCCCTCCGAAGGTTATCCGGGTGTCTAGGAGTAAGTCCCCGTTGAAGTCCTGGACCATGAGGTATTGCCACTGGTCCATTGCTGTCGGGATCTGTCGGTACGCCTTCTCCCAGTCGAATAGGGTCAGATGTGCTGGTTCGTCTAAGTTCCTAAAAAACCGTGAGACTTTGTTGAAGTCGTCCCAGGTCGTGGTGAAGTCGTTTTTGTTGACGAAGGAGTTTACCGACGGTTGGTCTCTGCGGTTCTTTGGGTAGCTTAAGTCGTTTATCGGTCTAACTGACCCGTCGCCGTTTACCACTGCTCCCATCGGGCTTGACCTGAAGAATGGAAATATTGTCGCAACCTGTGCGTGTGAGAAAGGGCCAAACATCCTCCCCGCGTTTATCTCTTTTTCTATGTTTTTCTCTATTTTTTCTTTTGTTTGGTTGGCGGATGCGTGGTTGTCAGGTGTTAACCACTTGAGGTTGCCGACCGAGTGATGCGGAATTCCTTGGTCAAAACCATACCTGAAGCCATCGAGTACGTCTTGGTATTCGTTTTTTATGTTTGCTTCCGTTAGTGATTTTTCCCACTCTGGGATATTCATTTCGCATTTTATCTGCAGTGGCCAGTCTAGGAGACTCTTGGTTCTTTTTTTTTCGCAAAAAATTTGTACAGGAAAGTGAAAACATGGTGTCAGACTCTTAGTCTTTCTTTAACATCTTGAGTATATAGAAACACAGGGGCCTGCCCTTTAAGGGGTGGTTTTAAATGTATGGTACAATACTTGAGCAACGGGGTGAAAAAGGATTCTTAGAAAGACAGATGGAGAAATCCTCCTACCCGCTTCTTTTCTTCTCGGTGACGTTGTCACTACCGCGCCCGCTCCAGTTGCTACGACCCCCGCCTCTACCTCTGCTCGAGCCTCCCCTGAAGCCTGAGTTTGAGTACCCAGAGGATCTGCTCGAACTAGCATCCCCTCTCGTCTCTGCGTGGTTTGAGGGGTGAGGGTTATCATTCCGGCTATCGTTGCGACTGGGTTGTCCGCCGTAGTGGCTAGCTGAGTGGAAAGGTTGGTTGTAGGAGTGGTTTGGTTTCGCTCTACGTTCCTCCCCGGTTAGAGGGTCCCAGTTTTCTCTTATCCCGCCTTTTGCGTAAGGGTTGTCTGTAAATCCAAGCTCCTGATGCTTCTGGGATTGAGAGTAGCAAATTTGCCAAATGTCGGTTTTGAATTTCGAGATGTCTGGGACCATCTCTGTCCCGTTACGATCGTAAACTCGATGTGAAAAGGTGTTCGCCCTTGTCATCATGTTGTATCTGAAAGCTGGCATGAAGCCGTGATGTTTGTGCAGGTTGTCGACGTGCTGTTTGTGGATGGTTATCCATCCTGCGAATACCGATAGGTCGTATACATCTCGTAGGAGCTCGTGAAAGGTTTTGTGGTTCATTGACCAGCTCGCGTAAGTCTGGGACCACTCGTTCGGGTATGGGAGGCCGGAGTATCTCGACACCCTTTCGTTACTAGTATCGTCAGATTTTGAACGCTTCTCGACGTGGTAAGTGAGTGCTCGCTCTTGCCAGTCCTTGTCGAATATGGTCAAGGGGAGAGGAGAGCGAAGCTCCCTGATATTCTTATTGAAAAAAGGCGTAAAGCCGATGTCTGCGTGGCTTGTGACCACTCCGGCCATGAACGTCAATCCTCCTTGGGTGATGGGTATCGACGGTGTGTCGGGTTGCTTTTTTGCTACTACGGAGAGCGCCAGGGGGGCTACCGCGCTGCTTTCTGGGATGGCGTAGGGGTTGGGGCCTGTCTTTGTTGGGTTTCGCTTGAACTTGGGTAAAGGTCTAGCGTTTCTCTCGGGTTGTGATTGTTCTACTATCTCGTCGTGGAGCAAGCCTTCGAGCATCTCGACGGACTCCATGTCTCCACGTAAGGTAGCTACCTCGATGTTCTTACGAAGAATCTCGTTGTGGTTCATCTTGATTGTGACTTGGGACAGTGGGTGGTCTTCATCTGAGTCGCTCGTCTCTTCTTCATCATCGCCTAGGCCCAGGAAAGCTTCTTCTCCGACAGTCTCGCGTAAACTGGCCTCGCTCGGGAGTACTTTGCTTGGGGGAGCCAAGCCTTTCCTTGTTTTAGCTGCAGCTGGGGCCGGTGCCCGACCTTCAAGAGGGGTAATAGGTCAGTATCACCGCTGGGCGTTTTTATGAGGTGTGAGGAGGGAGCAGATGTCCTTACCTTTGCCTTTAACAGCTCTGGATTTTCTCTTGGTAGGGTTCTTGTCTGCGGTATTAGCTCGATCGTTAGGTATGACTACGTCTGCTTCCTCGGATGCGTCTCTCTGGGTGGTCTCTGGGACTAGGAGTCTCTCTACTGAGGTGTTGTCTGTCGCATTGTTGTTTGTAGTGCTCGGGGCTTGAGTTGCCGCCGCAGGGGACACGTTCGTTTGGTTGGGGGACATCTATGAGGGTAAGTTCGTTTACACGAGGTGAGTGTCAGTGCGAGTGTTCTGCGCGTGAGTTGTAATCTCATTGGTCCGTAAGGACTGACTCTGTTTATAAGGACGAAGTTTGAGTTCTTGCTTAGTCCGTGAAGGATCGAATGTTTGTTCGGCTTGGACGCGGATTCGTAGGTGGTGTCGCGGTGTTTTGGGTCTGCTTGCTGTTTTCTTTTGCCTATCAGGATGCGAGTTTGTAGGTGATGCCGCTGGGTTTTTCCGAGTGTGTTTCTTGTTTTGCGTTTGTTCTTGATTTGTTTATCTGAAAATCTTTGCTTAAGTGAAGAGAGGCTGAGGAGACAGGATTGTGTGGCGGGTGAGGGGAACGAACAGTCACGAGGAGCTGGAGCTGGCTTCTTAAAGGCTGATCCTGATGGCTTGCTGGCAGGGTTGTTGCCGCAGTGGTCTTAGTTACTGACTGCATCCGTCTAAGCCTTGTCTGGTTCGTGACTGTGTTCGTCACGCGTGCCAGGTCCCCATGGACTCAGACTGCCTTTTTCTGTCGGCAATCCACAATCCATCCAATGCTGCAGCGCAGCTTTATCAATGTGAACTCATGTTCCCCGACTGGTTTTGGACTTGTATTAAAACTTTCTCCATGGAGAAATGTTATAACCTTTCACATAAACCAGCCTTAATCAACTCTGTTAACAAGTCTTGACGAATTAGATGACTTAATATTTGCGTAAATATGAAAATACATACCTGGAACCTTAAACCTCTGTTGTGGATCTGAGCCTGTCGCGTTGCTCTTCAGAGACCCTGTAGGACTTGGTTCCGCAAAGTTCCGAGGTGGGTTAAAGCCGCCCTCGCAGCTGTGATGAACGAGAACGAAATGTAACTTCTGCAGTGTTGCCACTTGTTTAGGTCCGTCCCACCTCAGCAACTTCACGCACTTCACGCGCTATTATCAATTATAAGATGTTTCCTTGCCATGTGACCATGTGTGCTCTTTGCTCAGTATGGTGGTATTTGTTAGCAAATTCTACTGCAAAACCAATGAACATGGACTCTCATCTGTGGAAGCTGGCCCCTGAGGAAGCAGGAGAATTTTCAGGTAGCTTGTATTCCTTGTTGGCTTATCCTGATGTAAGCGTTGATCCAACAGGATTGGACAAGGAATGGGAATCCTCTCAACACACACTGTTAGAAACGATACCGCCATCACCAACTTCATTGATAGCGGGTAGGCCGGACCAACAGATAGGAACCAAGAAACGCAAGCAAGGAGACGAGCAGCTTTTGAGCCCCTTTTCAATTTCAAACCCTCAGAGTCAGGCTCTTGGATCCCATAGTGCTCAAGACCCTTTAGCTTCCGGTGAGTTCTAGCTGTTGTGTCCGTATATAACACGCTTATTAAAAAAGTAATCCGAACCTGAGGGGTTCAATCAACTTGAGTTTTGGTAGTTCGCGGGCACTTCAATCCTGGCCAGACAATCACTGACTCAATCTTGGAGGATTTCGAGAGCCCAAATCCGGAGCTGATCGATAGCCAGTCGAAATCCACCTCAATTGAACCAATATCTAAGGGGAAAAAAACGACCGAACACGCCAATTGTGTTGTGATCCGAGGCCCAATCGTGGAACCCCTTCTTCATGTTTTCTATTCCTCCTTCAAGGATCAATTAGAGGCACACGCTGCGGATTACAAAGCATTTATTTTGGAGAGACGCGTTCTAGACCAGTTAGCTTCAGTGAAAAGTCAGAGGACCCCAACTCGAGCTAAACCTGGAAAACCCCGACTCGATTCAACATCTCTACGACGGATAGATTTACATGTGATGACACTTTACAAATGCTTAATTGGATGGATATATGAGGAGCATGAAAAGTTTATGAACAAATTCAACATTCCAATACATAATTACAAGCGCCATCAAAGAAAACTATTAGAATGGCTTCAAGATGAAACTTTTCCCCCGTCTGGCATGCCTTCAGTGTTTGAGGTCATGTCACAATCAAATGAAAAATCTGAATATGCTTTCTTGGCTAGCCCTACCCAAAAAAATCTAGTAAAATATTTATCTGATTCAAATATTAACAGCTATCTTGCAAAGGATACTGCCTGTTATTTAGTTGAAACTTACCTGGTGGAAAACCAAAGTGAGTTGATTTTACTTTTCACATATTGCTTGTACTATGAGAAACACTGAAAATGATTTCTGTTTGGATTCCACATTTCTATTTCTGAATAAAAAATGGGCAGTTGATTATTCAAGATTAAGTCAGCCTTCAATCCAAGAGACAGCAGTTGGAGTTCAAATGAAAAACTCAAGTTTTCAGCAAACAGTTGCATTACTATCAAACCTAAGTCCACGAAAAAAACAACTGAAAAGGATTAGATGGGAAACGGTTTCAGGGGATCCAGAATATAGACTATTGGTACCATTTTGGTCAGATTTTGATAGAAAATATGAAAAAATTGAAGAAGTATATGGGAAGCCTTCAACAACTTGTGTCATAAAAACTTACCATCCAAGATTGCCAATTTCAGTCACATTGAACAGGAAAAACCCAGTTCATGGATCTCTTAGGATTGTGGAGTTTGAAGACAAAGCTCTAATCCAAGAATCCATGATAGTGTTGAGAATCAAGACCTTGATGACAACAATGGACTTCATCCATAATGAATACTTGGAAATTTCAAATGTGGCACCAGAAGAATGTGAAAAATTGAGGAAAGAGCTTCTCAAATGGCTTGTTCATGTGATTTTTGATCAAACATATAGCATACCTATAATGGGAATTGTGAGAGTCCAAGGATACAATGTGCCATGGGATGAAGAAAATGGGATCAATTCATTTGGAGAGGTTCAATTGAAATTGCTAGAATATGTTGCTAGATTTCCAAAATATAAATCTCCAAGAGATACAGCTTCTTTCCTTATATACACTTGGTATCAAAACAATCATCCATGCTATCTTGAAAAATTGATACAAACTTTCAACCCCAGTAAGATGAAAGCCTGACTTGAACCCTCAAATCCTGTTAAATCTAATTAGTCTGAAACAGTGATTTGACTGCCCTGCTGTTCCCACTTCATTAAAATCCACTCCAAAATCAAAAGATGCAAGATGAGTCTACATATAACTTCTAGGAGATACAATAGAGAAATTTTATGGTATACTTGTGGTGTGATTTTTCCAGGAGGATATCTAAAAAAATAAAACCTGCTGGTAGTAGAACACAAGTAATTGACAAAGTGAAAGGGTGAAGTTATGCCTGAAACACTGCACTTGTAAGAATTTGAATCAGTTCCAGATCATTCCAAGAGATGTTTTGACCAATTGAAGGTCTGCAACACATACCATGGTCATTGAATGGTTTTAGCATTAACTGCCACTATCACTGATCAATGCTTGGCAATGCAATGATTGTCAAATGCACCGGTTGTTGATTGATATGAACCTGTTCCAAAACCAGCAAGAATGTGTGAAAGATACATAGAGAGATGTGTTTGTGATTCAGGATGTATGTAGACAGCTGACAAAGGGAAATCATTGCAGGAAAATCATGAGGCAACCAAGCCTATGTCTAGAATTTAGGCCCTGTTTGGCAGTGGGATAAATATAGGTGTAATATTGACCAATTAATTAGATGAAAAATCAACTGTTCAAGACCATGAATCCAAATTTTCTTACAGGCTGAACTAGCAATCTCTTCATTTTTGACATGAGGTTCAATTGATTAGGCCATCTTCATCACAATAAGAGCAATATTTCACTTTGCATTGGTCACAAGTGTAATGTTGCTATTATGAGGCTGAAGATGGCCCAATAATTTGAATCTGATGACAAGATTAACAAGATCAGGGGTGCATGTTACCTGTAAAAAAAATTGGATATTTGATTTGGAATGGTTTAGTTTTTATCTAATTAATTGGGCATCATAACACCTATATTCATGCCACTGCCAAACAGGGCCTTAGTATTCAAAACACTGTAAACACAAAATTTGGTGATGATCTGACAATCTCAGTAACTTTCACAAGAATCATGTACAGACATTCACGATTTGTATCTTGAGCTTTGGTAGATGTGCATTTGGCTTAATAGCCAAAATTTAACATGAGCTACTTGAATTTTGAAAGATGGATGGCTTATATACACTTCTATACTATCCTAGATGAGCACTGTAAAAAATGAAAAAAGAATACAAGTACAAATGATTTTAAGAGCCAAAAGAAGAAATATAAAAAAACGAGTAAAATAGTGCTGATTGCTGCAGGATTATACAATGTATGATGATGATTATGACAACAAGCTGTAAGATCTCTATGTGAAGGGAAATGATGCAGACCCCATACATTAAGGGTGCTAACTAGCAAGAAGAAAAGAAGTTCTTGACTTGTCATCCGGGTTATAGAATTCTAATTTTTAACTCCCACTTCTCGACAAAGTGTTCGTCCATGGGAGACTTGTATGCCGCACAGTCTAGGTTCTAACCAAGAACTAAAGAGCGAAGCCAACAAAATCCTGATTTTGATTTCGTTGACAAAGAGGAAGAGTATTTTGAATAAGATGGATGGTCAATAGTGCGAATTATGAGTAAAAAGAAGAGAACGGACCCAAAGGTATCGGCAAAGCCCACACAGGCCATCCTGAATTCATTCTCTTGATCAAGATCATGGCCATCCATGCCCAACCAATAATAAGCACTGACGTAGGCGAGGCCGCCACAGATGCCTTCGAGGGAGATGAGTGCAAAGACAAGGAAATAGATCCACTCGACCGACACCAAACGGCTCAGGAAGCCGGAAGAGGCCTCGAGTAGGAGTGTGCAGAAAATCAGGACCTGGAGTAGACTTGGTAGCGGGATCAGTGTTCGCGGCAACGCGGGAAATCGGAAGATCGCCATCGACGAGCGCGAGAAAAATACAAAGATCTGAGACCATTCACAAAGATCAATCAGGATTTAGTTCAGCTCTCTCAATATCGATCCTCCTCACATCTTCTTACTTCCTTATTTGAGCTAAAATAATGATTGGACTCAACTTGGTAAGTTAATTGCCAAAACGGATAATAATCTCGTAAGTTTTTGAAGACGAGAGAAAAGACTGGATGCGAGTTAGGTTGAGGAGGGGGATAGAGGAGCGTAGGTGCGATTCCAGTATTAATCTACAGGAGAAGCAATCAATCATACCTAGAGGATTCAGCATTATATTTTTTGGGATGATTTGACAGTTCGAGAAACCCAATACAGTTTACATACCGTATATTCAGCAAAATAGACCGCAAAGAGGGGAAGCATATATGGAATTAATAAAGGCTTCGCGAGTCGAAGTTTCTCGGCGAATGTCAGTTCAGGAGACTTGACTGAGAGTGCGGGGAGCTCGGTGGACAGTCCTGTTTGATCTGTCTCGGGTACAACCGCATACCCTCCGCGAGCCTCGATCGTCACAGGTGGCAATAGACTCGGAGGCGGTAAGAGAAAAAAGTAGGTAAACGAAAGACAGATTGGTAAGACCTGTCCTTAGAGGGTTGGGTTAATTCAACCATGTCTTTCTAATCTGAAAAGATCTATCAAATAGAGAGAGAGGATACGTGTAAGACTCAACTGAGCTCAAGCCAAGGCCGATCTGGACGCCCAAATGTCGTAAGAGCCACCAGAGAGCTGCGCCGAATACACCCGCTGCGCCGGTCCCTGAAGCAAACCAGCTTACGCCAGGTTGGCCTTGATACCTCGTTGTGAGTTGTAAGAAAGTCATTTCGCCTAAGCCCGAGGATAAACTGGCCAGGAAGATCCCAAAAAGTCTCAATGGTACTGAAGAGAATATCACGATCACCTGGGATCGAAAAACCCGTCCCATGTCAATTTTGACGGAATTGAAAACAAACAAGAAAACCGGCTGGTAAATGAAACCTTGAAAGGACATACCATCATTCCCGCAAAGCTTAGGGCGGAACAGCTCAGGATTCTTCGTGCATAACGGATTTGGCCTTTGACAAAATAGGGCCAGCCAATCTTGACCAACAGCGATGGTGTGATATCTGCGACGAGGATGACACCGGTGGGTACATCTGAAGGGACAAGATCCAATGCGGCGGAGATGATGATGACGTAGAGGACATTATTCCTAAATTCCATTCCAGAGATTCATTAGTTTAATCTGTGGCTAAACATTTTCCAGTTATAAGAAGGACTTACAATAGACCAAATAGAAACAACGATAAACAGAACCTAAAGTTAGAGGACTTGTCCAGAATGGCAGCTAGTTCAATATCAGATGATCCTTCGAGAGTAGTACAAGTCGTCGTTGTGGCTGGTGCGATGACCAGGGGTGCTTGTGGAGGTTGTTCTGAGTCTGAGTCTGAGTCCTCTGACCGTGGTGTGGAATGGGCTGGATGGCTGGTCAGCTCTCTTGAGTATTGATGAATCGGCGATAGTTTGTATGCCATCGTCGTCTTGTCGTGCTGCTGTTGAGACTGCTCATCAAGCCTTCTTCCTCTGTCTGGTCAGTCTCGATATTTCTTTTTGGTGGTTGTCCTTGGATTGGCGGTGGTGTTCTGTTGGGGTCAGGCTCGATCTCTCGGGGATCCCCGCTTTCATAAACCCCCGGGAGTTCAGCTTGCGGGGGATTTCCGACTGTCGAACTTCTTCCTTTTTTTTTTCTTCGGCTTGGTACATAACCACAACTCCTTCTCGTCGAATACATACCGCATACATTTACTTATACCGCCTACGCCATGGTCGCAGTCAAACGCAAAGTTCTCGATGTCATAGCCGACCCAGCTCCTGCCTCTTCATCCAACTCGCTGCACTCTAACTCACTCGATCGACGGACAAAAGCGATCCGAAGTTGCAGTAACTGGAATAGTGCTTTGCTCCACGGTAGACGGACTAGGGTGAGTCCAATAGGTTTTTTTTCTGTCTGATTTCTAGCTTCTCTAACTGATCATCCCAATTTTTTTTTAATTTTTCAGGGACCTCAATGGGATTATGCAACGGCTTCCTATCATGTCTCAAAAGGATCTACGGAATACTACAAAGGTGTCACTCGGATTGAGTCGTTGGTCTTACATTGTATCTGATTTCGCTTCCTCAACCAATTAAAAATTGACTGATCATTCGTTCACCTCTCCTCCATCCTCTCTAGGGGTGAATCGAACCCAACTGCCACCTCGAATCCTTCCTCGGCCCCGAATCACTACGCTCTCAATCCATCCTCTCAATTCCCGCCCGGCTTCCAATCTCGAGCCACCTTGAACATCCAAGTCTCTGGGCATCCCCATCAGCACCCCCATACGTTCCAACAGGATCCAGAACAATTCCAAAATCGACTCATCAGACATTCCTCCCAACACTCTCAAGGCTCAAGTCATGGCCGTCCCATGGGAAATCCAGCCCAACCCACCCCCTACTCCATCCACCCTGCTCACCTTCAACTGGCCGGAATGCCCCAACAAGCTTTTAATAACCTTCCCAACCCATCCGATCCGAAATCAGCCATGTTCACCACCCCAGGGGCTAATTACAAAGGCCACCCTATCCCACAAAATACTGGAAAATACGAAAGAGGACCCGGTTGACCTTGAGCATAAGAGCAATATTCCAAAAACAGCAGATCTGAGAATTGGACTACAGGTTCTCTCCCAAGCTCCTTACATCATACCTTCCAGCTCTGCACTAGCGCTATCGATCGTTCGACCTACACATGCGCCCCACTTTTCTCAGACATGTACAATTATACTTGATCCAACACATCCAACACTTCTTGCATTCATCCGCACCAAGTCATGAGTGCCCTCACAGTCATCATACTTCCACCCGAAATATCAAGCCATAATCAATGTGCTCAGGCTGGCTTCATTCCCCCCCCCCCTGGTTGCCTCAAAGTAGCGGTTGTATGTACTCCTGGTTTGCAAGCTTGGTGGGCATTTCCCAGAAGGACAAAATCGAAATATATGTACTTGTGAAACTGTTTGGAAATATTACCTGAAATGTCGCCACCCATTGAAATAATGTCTGTTCACTAAACCAACGGTGGGCCGCTACACTAACCGTAGCGGTTAGTGTAGTGTAACGCAGCGGAATCGCTGTTAGTGATTAGTGTAGCGTAGCGGAATTCCGCCACAACACCGCTAACGCTATGCGTGTGGGCCGCAAAAAAGGGCCCACTACGCTGCGCTACAGCAGTTTTTAGCGGTTTTTGGCCGCTTTTTCCGCTAAAAGCATTGTAGCGCAGCAAAAAACCGCTAAAAAACCGCTAACACTGCGGTTTTTGGATGAAAAAAAAAGTGCCGCTACGCTACACTTTTTGGGCCAGAAGCGTAGCGGCCCACCGCTGACTAAACAGATCAATACATGTAGAACTCATACATTATATCCTTTCAGTGTATGAATGGGGTACGAGTGGAGTAATACCCAGAAAATGGCTCAAAAAAAATGGGCCTTAATAAAAAAACGCGGTTTTTCCGCGTTTTGACGCGGTTTTGATGCGCCGCAGCACACGCGGTTTCCGCTTTTAGACACGGTTTTTTAATTAATTTTTTATGGGTTATTTTTTGAGTTTTTTTGAATTTTTAAAGTTGTTTCCTACAATATAAAAGGCGTAGAATTTAATGGTAAAAACCATTTTTCATAAAAATGAATTTTGATTATTAATTATTTTTTTTCACTCATTTCTCAATTAATTGTTTGCATACATGTATGTACCTTATTTTTTATGCTTTTGTGAAATTTTAAAATTATTTCCTAGGTTTCAATGTGTGTAGAATTTAATGGTGCAATCCAATTTTTTTAAAACTCACACGGTTCATTTTGAATACTGAAATTAGACCCATTT